GTGGAATGCCATTTCCAAACCTGTCCGTTGTTGCCGATAGGTTGCTTAAAAATAAATATTTTCTGTTCTGACTGGCAATGTTGCCGTTGCTCATATTTCTTTATGACATAAGGCTTCGGTTTAAGGTGACATTTGTTAGGCATGCAGATTATTTGTCCCTCTTTTAAATTGGAGCGAGCGTGGAGCGATTTGACTGGAGCGGGAGGACATTTTAGTGGAGCGAGGAGCGGTGTTGAGCGGAGCGGCGTAGTGCGAATTAGAGCGGAGGAGCGGGCGGAGCCAACAGCCTCGTGAGCGAGGAGCGGAAATTCTCACCGCTCCGCTCCGCTCACATGCTCTGGTGTGGAATTGGTTTGAGTATAGGAAAAGTGAATACGAATGAGACGAACGTGATTTGCAAGGTATGCAAGAGCACTGTTTTAGCAAGCGGTGGAAACACGTCAAACCTTTTCTATCATCTCAAATCCAAGCATCCAAACGAATATGTCAAAAAATGCAGTACAATACATTGCAGTAAACAGTATGGTTGTTTTTTTTTTACTTAAAGTAATGCTGCAATTTTAAATAAAATTACATTATATAAAACAGTTTCTTTGTGTTTGAATTTTTATTTATGCATTTCCAGATACAAATTGCTATATTGTGATATATATCGTTATCGAGGTAGAAAATTGCTTCTACCGTGATAGAAGATTTTGGTTATATCGCCCACCCCTAGACATGTGGTACGAGATTTAATACACTTTTACTGTTTCCTGGATGGGAGTGCTGTACACAAGGCATGAGCAGAGTGGCTGGTGTCTAATAATATTTGTGGATTTCTTTCTACAGCGGACGATGTAGATATCATGGAGTTGTAATTCTGGCTGCTGTTTTCACAGTCTTCTGTTACATTGTACAGTCTTGTACACAATGTACAGTTAAGCTGCCAAACCATAGTGTAATACAGCCCATAAGAATACTTTCTATTGTGCAGTGTCGAAGTTCACAATAGCTTTGGTGCCGATGCCAAAACTATTGGGGCGCCTTAGAAAGTACAGTTGCTGCTGAGCTTTCCTGAGAATGCATTTAATATTAAGTGACCGTGTAAGTATATCTGCAACGTTTATACAGAGGTATCTAAAATTATCGACAATCTCAAGAGATCCCATTGAAGGATATCGGCATATGATTTGCTCTGTTCTTCATAAAATCAATGATTTCTTTTGTCTTAGTGACATTCAAGGACAGATTGTTGTAATTGCATCATATTATTGTCTCGTATTATTGTCACAATATATTGTCTTTTGTACCTATACTTTGTGTATATTGTGTTTTTATATTGTACTGACACTCACTTTCTTGCATCTTTGTGGTCTGCCAGCTAATTTCGTTGTCCATGCAACTATACAATGACAATAAAAAGTCTTGATAGTATGCCAACCCAACAACACAAAAATGTAATATAATTTAGCAAATCATTAATAGTTAAATAATAAATTTACTTTCTAAATCAGTGGTTCTTGAACTGGTTTGGCAATTTTTTTTTTTCTGGTTTGGAAATTCATCTTGTGACCCACTTTTGAGTCGCAGTCCACCAGTTAAGAAACACTGCTGTAGATGGTAACTGTATAAACTGAGTTTATATGTGTATGAGTGGGTGAAGTGTACTTTATATTTGTATGACTGTAAGAGTAAAACAATGTATAACTTCTAGTCTTTTCTATCAATGAACATTTCCTTTATGTTGCCCCTCTAAGTCCTTTTCCATGGGCACATATTTATTGTTAAACATTTTTGTTTACCTGTATTATCATTTCTGAGGAGTCTGCAGTAGATTTTCTTACGTGTGTCCTTGGGTTGCCAGATGGGTAAGGTGGTGACAGGGTTACTTGTATGATAGTGACCCCACATACCTCTAGCATTTGAGTCTAGTTTCAAATTCATTATATTTCTTTTTATTGCTTGCTGATTAGGAGTCTAGATTTTAAAGCCAAATGAAAATATACACATGGCCAAAATTACTTTATTTCACATAGTTGCTCCTATTTATTTTCCTATATGTAGAAAAATAAGTTTTGTTTTTCAGTTCAGCTTCAGCACTATAATACTTGTCTATTCTAGGGCAATGCATTATAATGGTTGCCATATGATAATATTTGGGCTGTTAATCAGAATCAATGAAGCTCAAAATATGTGAAAATGTGAACAAAGAGGGTCATTGTTTTACCTGACATGCTGAATGATGAAGTGAAAGCAGCAAAGTAGTCAGGGCTGGCGTGGGACTGAATTTCTGACCATAAGTTAAGGCCACCAGATATGCTAATTAAAAACTATATAAGCAATTACACTATTATTATAGCTTCCCATTAACATATCCATTACCTACAGACCGCACATTCTTACTTATACGCTTTAATTTTGAGTTCATGTAATCTTTACCGGCATGTTTCACACATATACCATTAAAGTGGGGAGTGACTTTGACATATACAAATAAGGAATCTTCATCAACATGCGCATTAAATACATGATGTGTGCAAATTCCAAAACATCTACAATAGATCATTTACTTGTAGCGTAATTTATCTTTCCCCAATTTGTATGGAAACATTATTGATGCACGCTTTGACAACGTCTCCATGCGAATGTGTTATGAAAGTCCGATATTAAACCAACTTCTCAGAGTTCTAAAATGAACCTTTAAATAATATTAGGTAAGTACTGCTCTCAGGATTCAGACTGATTTTGTGGTGTCATAGGCCGAAAGACGCCTTGTTCACAATGCAGTTTACTACACAAGTGGCCCATTCTGCACTGACAAATGTTCTGACAGCTCTTAGGTCTGATGGCGTGGTAGAGATGTAAGCATGATAAATCGTAAGAGTTTATTTAATAGCACATCATCAGCTTATGGCCGTAATATTCCATTACATGCTTTTAAATGTGTGTAGCTGTTTGCTTATGCTGTAACAGCTTTACACCGCAATACACAAACATGCAAATTTAAGGAACATCACTGGTTGAAGTCCTTGAAGATTTGCGCACACAAGCAAAAATGCCACCGAAACGCGGGCATTTTCCCAATGTCTAGATGGTGAAATATGCTGTCTGGAGACGTATGCAGGGAGAAAAAAGGATGGGTATATTGAGGGGAGAAATGCATTGTGGAAACATATTCTGCGTAAGATTGCATGTTCTGCAGCCAGGCCCTCTTGTATTTTTTGGTGCTAAAAGAAAAATGAGGGAGAATTAAAAACGATGCAAAATGAATAAAATGCTAATCAAAGCACGGGGTCCCCGCGGCAAAACTTACCAATCAGAGTGGGGATGGGAGTGCTGTTGGTAAAACTGATCAAGGAGAGGGATGTGTCATCGACCAAATTTAAGTTCAGCCATTCCCTCCTTTGCTAAGGTTAGTTATGAATCTTTCCATATGTTCATTTAATTGTGTTCTTTCTATGGCTGCATTCACACCGCAGGAACTTTCTTCGGGAACCACATCCTTTATCCAAAACCAAGAATTTTTTTTGTCACGTGACCTTGGAAGCAGTTCCGGTGTTGTAACGTTTCATTCTGCCTATTGAAGCTTCCTACCATTGGGTTCTGCTCATGTGCACAAAAATAACGTCCCATTTCTCACACTTGTAGAATCGCCCACTTGTCTATCCTACCTTGCATTGGAGTTAGCCCTGAGTCTTGCGTAATTTCTCTAATTTTCGCCATTCATACATATGCAATATTTTATTAAATGCATGGGGTGGTGCAGGTTTTAGCACTGTATGTTTTTAGGGGGACAGTACATGAATTCTGTTAATACTAAAAAAAAACAGCCTTTAATATGTTCCCCATGTTTTTTTAGTATTAACAGAATAATAATTAAAAAAAGCTAAGTAACCAACATGGGTAACATTACGTCGATAAGAGGCTCTGCATGATGTTTTTGATTAATTATCCAGCACTAATTGGCGCCTCATTCTGGGTTGTTCCCTTTCTTGTGCCCGTAGTCTCTGGGATAGGCTTCAGGCCCCCATGACCCAGAATAGCATGAGCGGTTATAGAAAATGGCTGCGACCAACAGGGAACCATATGTGAACGTTCTGATTAAGTCCTAAATGAAACATTCCCATGTGACCAACAGACAGCCAAATGGCAATGTCCTCTTAACGTTCCAAATGTCTTCTTTGTAATGTTGCACTATGACCATAAAATAACCAAAATGGAAAGTCAGCCTAAAGCAGCGGTGGCCAATCTTACCCGCAAAGGGCCGGTGTGTGTGCAGGTTTTTGGGATAACCTGTAGGTCAGCTGCTCAAACCCAGGTGTGAGGACTCTTCAGCCAATCAGTCCTCTAATTAGTAATCTAATTAGGGAGTTGTAGCGAAAACCCACATACACACCGGCCCTTTGTGGATAAGATTGGCCACCCCTGGCCTGAAGTCTTATAGTCAACATTGAGCTGCAGCACTTTCATAACCAAAAGTGGACATTCTCTGAATGCCTCCAATGTTCTGTAAAGGTTCAAAACATTCGTCACCTTTAGAGACTATTAGGGAACATTACACATGGTCTCTCCAGAGCGTCCCCTTCTATGTGTGGACTGACTTGAATATATTGTCTTTGATAAAACTTGTGCTAAAAATAAATCAAGAAGGCTATATAACCAGTGTTACTTATGCTGTTGTCAACTATGTGATAACTATGTGATAATGTCTTTGTTTAAACTGATTTTAAAGAAAAAAAGAATTTAAAAAGGAAAGATGATTAAAAGTGCAAAGCTTGCTAAGTTTTTTTCCTACGACATAGTAACAGAGTAAAAATGTTTTAGCGAAATTCTCTATACTAGACCTAATTTTGGCCACAAGAACGGGAAAACATACCCATTTACGCCCCCCCGCGACGAGCCTTCCTCTCGCTCCTGCACACAATATCTCGGCACCGTTTCCATATCAGCGTCCGTCCCCCGAACGGCAGCGTCCGTCCTTTTAACTTCCTTCCCCCGCCTCCTTCACAGGTGCAACTTAGTTTGAGTGCGGTCGCCCCCGCACCGCACCGCTCACTACAATACAATAACTTTCGTTACGCATTGGGCGGCTATGGCGATTTATTTATTTTAGCAACACTTTGAGCTTCAGAACGAATTAACTGTAAAATATTAGATAACGGATAAATCAGGAAATTAATTATACTACTGCAACATAATGCTTAGTAATAACTCATTCATCGTTCAACTTCCTTTTTTTTCAATTTTATATACGTAGGCTATTTCAACGTTCTAGAACTGTCAATGACGTAACACTGGTTATTTTACGTAAATTTGCCTATTTAAATGAAACGCACTTGTGAACTCTGTATTGTGTTCTCTGTCTCTGTGAGAAATGGCATTCTTCTCCTTGTTCGTGAGCCTCATCATGTTCTCTATGGTGAACAGCAGCTTCTCTGAGGGTGAAGCTTCTCTTCGAGGCTGCACTTTTTTCAAGTGGCCCTTCACAGCTCTTTGTGAGTTGGGCACTGTCTGGGGTGTGGTGGTGCCAGTGGGAGTGGGAGGGGCAGCCCTGGTCTCCCTGATCCTGGCCCTGCTGCTGCTGTCCCGCTTGACGCGGAACATCGAGGCGGAAAGGCGTAGCGGGGTAGCACCGTTGCTGTTGATGCTTACCAGCATCTTTGGGCTCTGTGGCCTCAGCACGGTGTATCTCACTGAGGAGGGCCAGCATGCATGCATATATAGATATGCTAGCTTGGCGGCGTTGTTTGTGCCATGCCTTGCATGCCTGCTGGCCCAGGGCATGCGGCTGCACCGGCTGGCACAGACAACGCCTAGCCTCTTTATTGGAGCCATGCTGGGGTTCACTGGCTTGTTGGCCGGGACACAAGGTCTCACAGCTACCCTATGGGTAGTTGTGATTACCATAAATCAAGGCCAGCTGGCCTGTCGGTCCCGGCCATTGGACTTCAGCATGGCATTTATATATGTGCTGATCCTCCTCAGTGCGGCGCTCTCAGGGGTGGCATGCAGTTGGTTCAGGAAGCAGCAGCACAGCAAATGCAGGGTTGCATGGCTGCTTGCCACCTGGCTTACCTCTGCCGTGCTGTGGGCTGCCAGGCTCACCTTCCACGTTTATGCCAACGCAGCACTCGGTCTGCCCTCCACCTGGGACGACCTTGAGCATGCGTTGGTGCTGGTGGTGCAGGCCTGGCTCCTATTGCTGCTGCATGCCATCCCTGAGGCCCACACCTGGCTGCGCCTGGCCTCGCAGCGCTCTTTGCAGACCCCGGTGGTGATTGTTAATGGCTTCAGTGAGGAGATTTCACTCTCCTCCTGGCCATTTGGACATATCCAGGGCTCCTGGTCTGATCGGAGCTGCTCAGGTACAGTACTTTATTTTAACCACTTTGACTACTATATGTGTGTTTGAGAGAGAGCGTAGCTATGGGCTGATATTTGTGCCACTATAAACTGAATCTGATTTATTAGTTGAATTTAAATTTATGAGTTTAATCTGAATTCAGTTTCAACTTCTTGAGACACATAATCCTGGTCCTTGCGGAAAAGTAATCGACTGCAGGTTCACAACGCAACTCATTGCCACGTTTACGACAGTTCTGCAGGTCGGGGTAAAGTGGAGGCGTGTGCTGGGATGTCGCGAGAGCATTACCTTATGATATACACTCACCTAAAGGATTATTAGGAACACCTGTTCAATTTCTCATTAATGGAATTATCTAATCAACCAATCACATGGCAGTTGCTTCAATGCATTTAGGGGTGTGGTCCTGGTCAAGATAATCTGCTGAACTCCAAACTGAATGTCAGAATGGGAAAGAAAGGTGATTTAAGCAATTTTGAGCGTGGCATGGTTGTTGGTGCCAGACGGGCCGGTCTGAGTATTTCACAATCTGCTCAGTTACTGGGATTTTCACGCACAACCATTTCTAGGGTTTACAAAGAATGGTGTGCAAAGGGAAAAACATCCAGTATGCGACAGTCCTGTGGGCGAAAATGCCTTGTTGATGCTAGAGGTCAGAGGAGAAAGGGCCAACTGATTCAAGCTGATAGAAGAGCAACTTTGACTGAAATAACCTCTCATTACAACCGAGGTATGCAGCAAAGCATTTGTGAAGCCACAACACGCACAACCTTGAGGCGGATGGGCTACAACAGCAGAAGACCCCACCGGGTACCACTCATCTCCACGACAAATGGGAAAAAGAGGCTACAATTTGCACGAGCTCACCAAAATTGGACAGTTGAAGACTGGAAAAATGTTGCCTGGTCTGATGAGTCTCGATTTCTGTTGAGACATTCAAATGGTAGAGTCAGAATTTGGCGTAAACAGAATGAGAACATGGATCCATCATGCCTTGTTACCACTGTGCAGGTTGATGGTGGTGGTGTAATTAGTGCCAATTGGGCATCGTTTAAATGCCACGGCCTACCTGAGCATTGTTTCTGACCATGTCCATCCCTTTATGACCACCATGTACCCATCCTCTGATGGCTACTTCCAGCAGGATAATGCACCATGTCACAAAGCTCGAATCATTTCAAATTGGTTTCTTGAACACGACAATGAGTTCACTGTACTAAAATGTCCCCCACAGTCTCCAGATCTCAACCCAATAGAGCATCTTTGGGATGTGGTGGAACGGGAGCTTCGTGCCCTGGATGTGCATCCCACAAATCTCCATCAACTGCAAGATGCTATCCTATCAATATGGGCCAACATTTCTAAAGAATGCTTTCAGGACCTTGTTGAATCAATGCCACGTAGAATTAAGGCAGTTCTGAAGGCAAAAGGGGGTCAAACACCGTATTAGTATGGTGTTCCTAATAATCCTTTAGGTGAGTGTATATGAGAATAAGCTTTATATACACAAGCGATAGCATAAACATTATCCGTAGGTCTGGTGAATATGGTAGTATATCTGGTTAAATGAACGATTTCTGGCACTGCTAGTTTATGTTAATATGGTAGACTAACGCAAAACTAGCTAGGGATATGAATTTAACTTCTAGTTTAGTTTAAGTTATGGCTCGCCTGTTCATCTCATGTGGCTTTCTAACAGTGTTTATGCTAAATATCTTTTAAAATATTAATCTCGCTGATATGAGGTGGAAGTCAGTATTAATTTCTAATATGGGAGTATGGAATATTATTTAGCACTTCATAATACATAGAGAATGTAATCATTAGAACTCTATAAGAAGCTGATGTAAACTGTGCAGCGAGTGAAACTTTCAGAGAATGCAGACCAATTACTGCTGTGCACAATGTGAAGACAAACAAGTATGAATTAGCACCTTGTGTTGGCTTAGAAGTTTCTGTATCTGTTAGCTATTTTGTTAGCCTTTGATATATGAATATGTACTTTATTAGTGCTGCAGCTTATCACTATACTGAAGGACAAATATATCATTAACCATCTAGCCAGACAATGTGCAACAAGCTGAAGTTGCCAAGGTTTGCTATGAAGGAAGGGATTCGCCTGAGTTCACCAAAAGTTCACGGCTGGGTCTTTAAACAAACCAATTAGAAATGGTCGTGCCACCATTAGGTTCAGTCGAGGAACCAAACAGTAAAAGAGATGATTGAGAAACTTATCACCTAGGGGTGTGGATCAAGGGAGAAAACAACGATGGTGAGTGGTTGAAGAAATGATAATGCTTAAGTGACGAGATGTTGTAAGACGATAAGAAAATGTATAAAAATTAGTGTAAAAGAGTATTGGGGCGTTTTTCCATCGCACCAGTTACTGAACTTTTTTATATTTTTGTTTCTACTGTTTTTTATTTCGTTTCTCGCTGTTCGCTGTGTGTTTCAAAAGATGCCGGTTGTATTTTGTCAATGGAAAAGCGAGAGTATCGAAAGTACCGTACTTTATGCGGTGGAAAAGCACCCTTGGACACACTCCTGCAGGGTGTCCAGCCTTGGCTGTAACCTTACGGTTGCAATAGAGGCTGAATCTGAAAATCTACCCAAGTGACTCCTGACTGGCGGGGAAGAAAAAAACACAACATGAGTGCATCGATACACGTACTCCTGTATCGATCTAAATGTATAGTTATAAAGCGGGCTTGAAGTGCTATGCTTCTGGTCTGCTGCATGTCTACAGGGCTCTCTTTGTACTGTGCTAATAACCGGGAGCATCAGTTGAACTAGCGTTTAATATGGTGATCTGTATAAGGAGTGCTCTAAGTGGAGAAATAAAAGTGTCGCTACTGTATTGACCGTGAGAACTGTGGCAGGGGTGCAGTGGGGTTGTTGGGAACAACAGAAGCGCCTGAACAACACTGTTGGTACTGCGCGCGCTGCCCCGCCACTCTCGCGTGACGCTTGTCTCTGAGTAGCAGAGCACTGGCAACTTGTGAGAAGTGGTGGTACGATAAAGATTAAAATATAGCAGTGCCGGTACTGCTTAATTCTTATTACGTATATGATCCCGCAATAGCTCTTGCGGCATCCCGGCACACGCTTCCACTTTATCCCAAGCTGCAGAACTGTCGTAAACGTGGAAATGAGTTGCGTTGTGAACCTGTGGTCGATTACTTTTCCTCAAGGACCCGGATTGTGTGCCTCAATAAATTGAAACTGAATTCAGATTCAACTAAGAAATTCAGATTCAACTCATAACTTCAGATTCAACCTAATAAATTCAACTATTAAATTCAGATTCAACTCATAAATTCAGATTCAACTAATAAATTCAGATTCAGTTTCTAGTGGCACAAATATCAGCCGATATGTAGCCCTCACTGTTTCCTTCCATCCTGCCATTCAGTTTGGAACACCAGCTTCGAAGCAGGGCCCAGTACACCGTTTGGCAGCAACGAGTCCATTGCTTTCACCATCCCAGACGAGGGAGAAGTGAGTGTAGCTTCTCATTCAGTACCTTGCACACACAGACACACACATTCGGGTTTATATGGTTTAGAAGGACATTTTTCTCAAACCCTGCCTGCTGAGGTTTACAGGGACTACCCTTTCCTCAGCTCCTAGAGCTATGTCACATAGATAAAACTGCTTCAAAAATCAAGGCTACAGAAAGGTCACTTTAGACCTATATACATCACCCTGAAGTTATGGTGGTTTGCAAGCCCTTTTCTCTTGGTGACATATACATTGCTTATAAGGTCAAAACAATCACTAGAAGGACATTAAAGGGCCATTTAAATGGAACTTAATATGCACACACACAAACCTGATAGGATACAGCATTACAAGGACAGGTCGGGTTTTTGGGATTACCTATCAGCCAATAACAGTGGGCCCCCAGGACTGGGGTTGCAAACCACTCCGGCATGAGCTGAGGAGGGGTGTTCATGCTTCCTCCTATGGTCATGCCACAGTATATTGATGTCATGCCAAGAAGTTTTCCTTCAGCTGCTCATCACACTTGCAAGGAATTTTACACCAGTGTTTCCTGCAAAACTATGTTGTTAATGACATTGTTGTTAAATGATAGTTGGACAGTTACTAAATACAATGCTTCACATACTTCCATTCGAATCCGTAAATGAATAAAAGATGTTATGATATTGGAAGTACAATTGTTTGTGTATTATTAAAGTCATGACTGACTGTGACATAGATAAAGGCCACATATCATAAGAAATTCAGGTAAAATAAAATTCAAACATTTTCTAGAAAAACCTACCAATATCTGCAGAGGCACAAAACACATGGTCATCAATTTCTGATTCAGGTCCAGCAGCCACATGATCACAATCTGATGCATCAACCATAGGTTCACTGGTGCCAGACTGTGTTATTCACTTTCATATTTGTCATCAACGTCAGAGTCACTTACTTCAACTTCACCTGGAAAATATTATTAAAGAGATATTAATGTATGTGCAAGGTTTTTTCTCTTTAAATTGTACCAGTTTTAATACTAACCATCAATTTCGATTTCATCAAGCGATTTCCCTTGCACACTGGAATGCTGCCCTTTTTCCATTGCCAAAAGTAGTTTGGAAATTTTAGCCAGTTGCGTGGTGGGAATGGGTAACCCTATAGAAATCGCGATGAACACGGAGGTCATGACCAAGGAAGTCCGCGAGTTGGTCCAGTTCATTGTTTTTTAAATTGAGCACTTGTGACAGTGTAGCCACATGTTTTCGGAGTTGGGTCGACCTGAGCTGCTCAGGATTTTTTACTCCACACCGACTAGCATGAATGCATACTGTAAACAGTCCTGCCCTCTGTAGTAGCTCAATGATTTAGGTCTTGCAAA